TGCTGAAATTTTATGCTGTAGCTTTGCACAAAGCAACAAACGTTTTTCAGACATGTATGTAAATCCCATGATTTTTGAAATCCAGGAAGTTAAATGGCTTTGCTGGATTGAGATGTAAATGACTTCAAACCATTCTAACTCAAAACCAGTGTTTACTGGAAAGAGTAACAAAACATAATGTGAAATCTTGGCCCCGTTGATGGGAGGTTTTAATGCCGATTTGAATAGGAAAAGAGATTTCTGGGATTGCTGAATTGGTTTAACTTTCTGCAAACACAAAGTCTGACCTGGCATACTTGGAAGCTTCAATCTCAACTTAAAGAGTGCAGAATTGGAGTTAGTTCATGTGTGTATGAGACCAGTAAAACACACTGGCATGTACCTGCTAATCTGTGCAGCCATCTGTTGAAATTCATGGTAGTACGTCAGTAGGATCCCACAATGATCACTTAGTATTTTTCTCTAATTAATAACATTAAAAATATTATACCTTATGAGGAAAGCTGTTTTACTCAACCATTTTCATTAGGCACATGAGAACATCAAGATGTAGCAATCTCTCAGAGAAAAGATTTTCTTTTGGATTTCCTTTTCAGATTCTGGTGGTTAAAGTAACTATTGTGAATTGCCAAAACATCACAAAGAAAGATACACAAAACAGGACAAAACCACACAGGTTTATAACTTATTATTACCAATCATGTAGGAATGGAGCAGACTCTGACTAACACATTGTAATCTTCCTGTAAGGTTTCAAACTTCCTTTAAATTGGATGTTAAAAGAATGTACTTAAAATTTACTTAAAACTCTAGAGACTGAGGTAGGTTATGGTTGATTCTCCCAAACAAATCTTACACCCACTTTCATATTTTTAAGGCTATGTAAGAAAAGGTTTTAATGACAACCATAAATGTTAATCAGAAAACTCCAGAAGCTTATTGGAAAGGTCAAGCTGGATTTTGAATGTTAGAGCAAATTCTAACAGCACAGAAACAGACTTCTTAGGGACTTGTAGCATTACAATGTCATAGCATTTGTCTGCATGTGGTTGTAAAAGGTTAATAAGTGCTTGAAGTAACAACATCCATGGAAAAGGCTAAATCACTGATTTGATGTCACACAAATAATGCCACTAGGGCTTTTGCAGACAATATCTGATTTGAGGAAGATTATGTAATTGATAGACCTTTCATAAATAAAATTGTATTTCCTGTGTACTGATAGAAAAAGTAGCTTCTGATGGTTCCTAATGAAGAAGTGAAAAGAGCAAATGGGTTTTAAAGGTGCTTGTGAACCATTACATAGTTTTAAATGGGAAGGCACAATATTTTCTATTTTATTTTTTGAATTCTAGCTTCTCTCAAAGTCAAAAGGCTTGGACTGGAAAAAAATGTTGAGACTCCATGATGTGCAAACCAAGCTAGGAGTTAGCCTGGAGGAAATGCTGACCATTGTCGAAGAGGTATTACATCCTGAGCCTTACAGCACAGAGGAAATTTGTAAATGCCTGGGAATTAGCCTGGAAGAGCTCCGCGCTCAGATCCTGAGTGAAAACACGCAAGATGGTGAGCACAGATGAAGTGGTGGGGCTTTGTCTGCAATGGTTGTGCTAAATATAAAGTTTATGTATTAAAAAGTAGTGCAAGTGGAAGTCTTGCCAGAATACTTCCCCACAGTCTTGGGTGGGGCAATCAATACCACAATTTTCATTCTAACTTGTAACTTAAAATAGAGCAAAACCTTGATTTTTATTGAACTGTTTCTAAACTGCTTGAAATAGCAGATCACTATTATTTCAGATTAGTTTGGGCGGTTTAATAGTCATCTCTAAATAACCCAGTTTTTCTTCTAGGGACAAGTCTAAACTAGGTTTCCTTTTTAGGCAATAACTCTCACAAACCCAAACATTTTGGATGGTTACAGCATCATTAAAATGAATCCTGTTTGCTCTCCCTTAACTGGTATTAAAGACTAGCATAGGTGGACCTTGTGTTTCTGTTTTGAATTGATAAATACATGATCACTTCATAAAAGATGCACAGGGCAGCTGTCTCCTGAGAAAGAAGTTTCTGTCACTATGAATATAGTTTTTCTTTTAGGAAAATGTTGGTGGACTTAAAATCTACTATTGAAAGGTCTTTCCCATGTTTTATTGCTTATGTTTATACCATGCAGCCATGGGCGTTAGCACATGTGGGATGGATTCTTGATGCACATAGCAGGGTTGCTAATACTGAATAGTAGAGTCTTTATGAAGTAATTAATTTGCATTCATAACAGGTTTCCAATTGAGATCAGATTCTTTCCTTAAGAACTTAAAGCAATCCTTACTTCCTTGTTTCCATTCCATAGCCTTAATATTTCTGCTGTTTTATAGCTGAATTGTTTCCTTGCCAGTCCTTCTCAAGACTCTTTCAGCGGTGTACGTGTTTCATGTATATAAATCAGGAATGTATCCATGCATACTGATGCTCAAATTTAACTAATTTATATATCTGGAAAGACTGTGAACTTTCTATATTGACCCAGGACCCAGTCCTGAGTCTAGAAACTGTTTTGCACCCCAGCAGTGTCAGAAACTATGGAAACCATCTTATAGTCTAATTACACTGCCAGAGGGTACCAGCATGGGCTAGGATATCTTAATCCAGCTCTTTATCTCCATAGCAAGAGTTACGGTACTTCTGTGCTCTACTTACACATGAGGAAAACACTGAACCACGTACCTACACTTTGCAGTGCTTCCATGGGAAACCATAGGGTTGTAAATCTTTTACCATGTCTCCTCACTCTCCCATTCAGGCATCTATGCAAGATCATCAACAACCAGATGTTTATACTTCTTATACCTGGTTTATAAAACTAAATTCTGCAGTTCTGTAGAATTCAACTGTTTATACAGATTATTTTTTTCAAAAACTAAAGCCTGAACAAAAAATCTAAACATGAAAACTATAGAAGAAACACCAAGGAAATTTTATGCTGTGGCTCTGACTAGCAGTTGCAGGTGCTAGCTGAACAGTATCTCAAACTTGCATGACCATGATTTCATTTGATAAGGCAAATTAAATGGGTTATGCAGAAAGCTTCTTTGCATGTACAGTATAAAATTAAACAACATATTTCTGTAAAACTATATGCAAGGAAGAAAAGGACACAAAGAATCTAAATCCTCTGTTTGTTTTTGTTACACGCTAAACAAATTTAATGTTGGCTTTGGAAAACCAGAGGCTGTTTGACAAAAACATTTTTCTTATTTCCCCTCTACTTTCCCACTATATTTTAAGGACAATGCCTGGCTTCCTCATGTGAGAGAAAACATACCAATAACTAAGTCATCTCTGCAGAGATTTTTAGAAAGTTGATGAACTTTTTTGTTCAATGCGAAGAAGAAACTATAGCATTTAGGGTATTTTTTTTCCTTTGTACATATTTAATCAACTTTCCTGTTAAAATATTATAATGTTAAGGGTAAATTATTTGCACAAGTTACTATTTAGATAATTTACTGGAATTTGAGTTTCTCTGTGGCTGAATATAAATTGTCAGTAGTTGTGATGTTTTGCATTATTCATAGCCCAGTGATAGTCACAAATAATGTTTGGTACTGACATTGTATCTCATGTTTAAGAATCTGAAAGTGCTATACAAATATTATTTTAGCCTTAAGTCTAGCTTCCCCTCCTCTGCTCCTCCAGTGATGGCCCAGTATACTTAGATAAAGTTGTTTGGGTGTGGGGAACGGTGAATGCCACGTGTACCCTTGGTCCCTTTAAAAAGCCCTCTCTGTATGAGAGGAGCAGAGGAACGTCCCAGAGGAACCTCTGGAGGTCTGTTACTAACACCCTTGGTCCATGACAATAGATGTTTAAGGCTGACCAGATAAAAACTCCACATCCCAAAGAAAAATGGTATGGACAGGCTTTGGGCAAGACCCAGGCCAGGTCTGGAAGCACACAGCAGCTCTGCATTCCTTTTATAGGCAGGTAGTTAAGGATTTCTGCAGTTCCCCACTGTGCAGCCCACTTGTTTCCCAGGTTTGGAGAAGTGCAGATGGTGTGTAAAGCCTCTCTAAATTTCTTGGAGTTGTTCCCTGGCCAACTAAAAATCCCGAGTTTAAATCTCCCTTGCAAATGTTTACACATGGATTGCACTTGTGGCTTCTGAACATCTCTAGAAAAATAATATTACTTTCTAAGGTGCACTATGCCATAACTTTGGCTTGGACTTGAGTGCTTCACAGAACATTTAGTGTGTGGTGATTGTGGGACATTAAGTATTCATAAGCTTCACCACAAAAGGATATTCTCCTGTAAAACAGTGTATTCCTTTAGCCATGAAATGTGCGTTTTTTCCCCTTTTTAAATGAGGTATTTTTAAACCCATTTTTCCTTTTCATGTATAAAACTAATCTAATTTTGACATTGAAACCTGGGAATGAAATTGCCATGGGAGAAGCAGAAATTCATGTGCTTTGTGGATTTGGCTGTTTAACTGCCCTCCCATTTGTCCCCTGGAAAGAAAATTCTAAATCTGTGTTCCAGTGAGTGGTGCTTGAATAGCCTTTCACTCCCACTGCCAAATAATTTGTGTTAATGGTGATCTCTGGGCAAGAGCAGTCTCAGCTGTATGTGCACAGGCAGGATATGGGAAGGTGGACTCCCAGAGGTCCTGTCAGGCTGCTCCAGGAGATGTAAGGCATTGTTGTGTGCATTAGTAGAGTGCCCTGCTCTTGTAAGAACAGAAGTTACCTCCAAACTGGTAGAAAAAAAAAGAGCCTTTCCTAGCTTGAGGGTCCAGGTGCATACTCCAGCCTCAGTCTGATCCATATAACAGAGAAAAATCCATATCACGGAGAAAATTGGGAGCATACAATTCCCTTCCATAAAAACATGGTGTATTTGGGATGAGCCAGAGAGGTGGCTGCTCCAGGCAGATCCCCTACACCTACCTGCAGGGTGCAGGCTTTTGGGGTGTGCCACAGGCACCAACTGGTCTAGGTTAGTTGCAAAAGCCTTGTTAAAGCCTGTGTTCCTCTGGAGGAGAAAGCACTGCAAACCAGTAGTTACCACAGTCTCAAGCAGGTGTCTGCTGAATGCGTCACTGAATCCAGCAATGACTTGTCCCCTGGTTTATTTTCAGAAAGCCAGATTGCAAACAGTTACTTGAGCAGTCTCAGTAGAGCAACTGTTCCCCACTTCGAGTAGGGGGTTCACAATCTGGCTCAAATTAAAGCCATCTGGCAACATTTTCTTATACACATCATGAGCCAGAAACCTTCACCCTCATCATGTTCAATCAGCAGGATGCCTAACAGAGAAGGGCACCATTCCACATGAGTAATGGTGGTAGAAACTGTCCCCTACATGATTTTGCGTCGGTGAGGTTTTCCTGTTGTAAATTTCTAACAGTCCCATCAGCCATGTGTAGCTCATTAATCTACAGAGAAACACATCTTAAGAAGCTGCCAAAGCAACTAGAAAAAAAACACATATATAGCCTAAAGAGGTTGGTCTTTAGCTAAAGGTCAGATAGAATTGTACAGAAAGCCTCTAAAGAAAGGAATCTGCTGAAGCTGAAGTTGTAACAAATAATATGAGTTGCTAAGAAGCCGCAATGTTTAATTGTAAGGAAAAATATCCCTGTAAATGGAGTGAACAGGTTTGCACAATTTTTGTAAAGCTGAAATTTAAAATATGATGATACAGTTGAAAACCCACAGTGAACTTCTCTGCTATATTTAATTAACCCACAGTTGTTTGGACTAATAGTCCAGGACTTTTGTTTCTTAAGAGATTTTATATGGAGTTTGGACAAACTTTCATTCATGTTAGTCTGCTACGTCTTTAGCAACTCGTAAGGTTCTCACTGCAATGGGAGCTATTAAGAGCACTGGAAAATGCCACCTTTTCATCCAAGGCCATTTTGGTGGTTTGTAAGGGAACTGAATCTACCTATTCATGGACATTACAGAAATCCTCTGCAGAGAAGAAAACAAGAAAAGCACCTGAACTGGGTATTTCACAGATGTCCTCATGGAATAAAAATTACTTTAGACATGCTCTAAACAGTTGCTCTTAGGTCAGTGTGACAGCCAGCTAGTTTCATTGCACCAGAAATTTTAGGTTCCTCTTTAGTCACCACAGAAATTGGTGCCATGGGGCAATATGGGAATCAGGTGGGATATATGATTCCCTAATCTGCCCTTTTTACTGACAGGAAGTGGAGCTGAGGGAACCTGTATACCCCTGATTTGGAAATAAATTTAAGTGGGAGAAACTAGGCCTTTATAATTTACTGAGTTAGGAAAGTATATTTACATTTTTAGTCAGATAGAGTACCTCATTTCTGTAGACTGTAAAAAATTTAAGGATCCACATGCTTTTAAGAATTTGGCATTAGTTCCCTAAACCCTGCTTTTTTGCTCTCCTTTGAGTGCAGCTCCATGCAACCCAGTCCTGTGTAACACTGGAAGGTTTATTTTGAGAGCTTCAGTTTTTCCTCTTTCGGAGCACTCCGGTCCTAGCTCAGATATAAACTAATCAGTCATTCACACTTCTTATTTATTTTTTTTAAAACTGTGACAGGGTACAGCTTAGGAAATCAGTCATTTTACTTGTAAGAAATGTGGCTGCATGAAGTGCACAGATTCTGATTGGTTCCTGCACTCTTCTAAAATCCCAGCCTCTCTAGCTCTCTGACATGTCTTATTAATTCAGATTTTATTTCTGTAGCACTAATATACTGGCTGTGATGTAGCAAGGAGATTCCAATATGGATACCATTTCTGGAAAGAACGTGTGCTCTGCTATCTTTTATTATATAGACATGGTTAGTTGGACTGCCCACCCAAACAGAAGAGATACAAGAGAGTTCCTCTCTTACCAGAGGCATCTGGTGTTGAAAGCCAAAAATGTGTGAATAATTTCATTATTTTAGACTAGCACTTGCAGAGTACAGAAGTGTTTCCTGGCCTGAAGATAATTTTACCTGAACAGTACAATGCCAGGGAGGAAAAGAAGAACTATAAAAAAACCCCACAAATGTAATTTTCTGCAAAAAAACTGCTGCCCATAACCAACCAATAATGATACCAAACAACTTAATGACACCAGCTTTTAACCGATAGTAATTTGGTAAACGTCCACAAAGGAGTCTGAAAATAACATCCAGTCCTTCTCTCCCCCTTTGGGGCTGTCTGGAAGGATGGCTTTGCAGCGAGGGAACGCCTGTGTCAAGGTAGAAAGTTCTCCCCTGTACAGAGTGACCCTCTGGGGAGTGGCTGCTGTCAAGGACTCTGCTCAAAGCTGGCTGGTGGCCAGCAGCCCCATCACACATCCTGGTGGCCAGCAGCCCCAGTACCCATCCTGGTTGCCAACTCATAACATGACAAGCACAACACAACCCCAGAGATTTTTAAGGTAATCTGGCCAGTGGAGCATTGCTCTACCAAAGGGTGGTCTCCGAATCAATCACAGCCTTTGGCAAGTCTGTTGCCTTACAATTGAAACCAGACATGTTTTCAGTTCATTCTTTGGGTTACTACTGTTCAATGGTGATTTACAAGAGAGTGTGAGCTATGGCAATCTCTCACGCAACTTTAGATATTCCCTAAACGAATGCACATTTAGAAATCTCCTTGCTCTAAAACAATGGCTTATAAGAAAAGAATATTTAAAGAGAAACCATCCTTAAAAATAGCCCAAGCTGCTTTTCTTCAGCATTCAAAAATACTGAGGCATTGCTCTGCAAAACGAAATGCAAGTAACTCCAAGTAACAAAATCCAGTGGGGTAAAACACACCTCTAAATGGGAAACCAAAACATGCTCTTCCTGTGTGATACTCTGAAGATGATGTTTCTGGGAGGCATTCAGTTTCCTCATATCTGTCCTAGTTTGAAATGCGTTCAGAAGGCCTGTTCAAAAGACAGCAACACAGGGTTTCTCAGTAGCGAGCTGTATTGAATTACAAAATAAATACCACCAGAAGCAATATCACCAGTAGCAGAACACTGCTACATTCAATGTATTTTCAGCATTTACAGTTCTGATTTACACTTAATCTGGAGAAATAGTAAGGGATTATACAAATACTGGTGAAGTTTTAGTCTGTAAGGGCTGTGATCTGGAATGTACATACAAGAGACTTAATCCTGGACACAATTTTACTTCCAGCTTTTCAAGTAAGATTTCTACATATACTTGCAAATGGAGATTGCAGAAATCATCAGAAGTGGTTCCAGAACTTGGCTGTTTCCATGCAACAGCCAAGTGGGAACTCCATGTGTCTGGGTCAGATAGCAAGTTCTTTTTTGAGTACAGGACTTGTCTCTCTTCTCCTTTTACCTCTATTTGAGGGTTTCATCAGCCATTTTAGAAAGCAAGACAGACCAGAAGCTTAAATGAAGAGAGGGACCTTGTTCTAAAGGAGAATTTTCAAGTATAATGAACATGAGGGATGTTCTGAGGTGTTCTAACAAGAGTATTGTTCAGTTGTGATGAAATAAGGAAACGTACCATGCTCCACATAGAGAATTAAGTCCACTTATCTAATATTCACCACCCAAACAGCTCAAGTAAACCAATTTAATCATAAATCATGTCATGCATGCTTCTGGTGAACAATACTTCCTCAATAGCAGACGTGGGATTAAAGCAAACAATTATATTGGGAGAGGAAAACAATTAACTACAACACGAGCTTGGGAAAGGCAGATCGATTCTCAGATATTAGTTGGAAACCAAACCCTCCTGTGAACAAAAGCAGCTCAAGGAGCCTTTAACCACAGCCATCCGTTTCCTTTTTATGCCCACTGTTCAGGTGGAGGTCTCTGCCCCAGTGACCACACAGGTTTGGGCATGCTCCCACCCTAGCTAAAGGGACTGCTTTTTCATGACACAATAGAAAAAATTTAGCCAAAATCCTTGCACCAGCCTTTGACCTTAGAAGGTCAATACTAAGCAGTACCCTTCTGGGCTTGACATCTCTTCACATCCACACAGGCAGCACTGACACTCTGGCTGGTAACACAACAAAAATAACCTCTGAAACAAACTGAGAGCACCCGTGCTCTTCACTGTGCCTTTAATCTAGTGTTACAATCAGGGTAAGCCTGCATCATTGTGAAAGTATTAGAGAGGGCTTCCTTACCTATGCAACAAGGAATACGGTAATGGCATTTTTGCTAATCTCAGTAAAAAAAAATAAATAAAAAAAATCAAGTGGTTGGTGGATTTTTGTGGTTTGGTCAGTGTTTTTCTTTTTCCAAGGTAAGGTCTGTCCAGTCACAGAAAAAGCTCTGCGCCTGGAGGGCACAGGGACCCTTCTGCTGCTATTGAAAACCTGAAAACTTTAGATTACTGTCCCAATGCATGTTGCTTCTAACTCTTGAACTTGTGGCTTGCCTCTGCAAAGTAAAAGGAGAGACCGAGTCTGTTCAGTGACACATGTAAGAACCAGAGCACATGCCTGAAGTTATCAACAGAAAAACAATGTGTACCGTGTATTTTGGTGAACTCTAAATACTCTTTTATTATTAGAGCTTTTAAAGAAGATGTAGGTGAGCTTTTGCAGAAGCCTAAAGAGTTCCAATATAAAATACCAATTACTAAAAAAGAAAACTAATTCTGCTGGTTTTGTATGTTCCTTGTAGTGAATATTAATGGATAACTGTATTAATATTTTCATTTTGTTTAGTTGCCACCTTCAAGTTATACCAGCGTGCAAAGCATGTGTACAGTGAAGCTGCCAGAGTGCTGGAATTCAAGAAGATATGCAATGAGGCACCTGCCAATGCAATCCAGCTGCTGGGAGAATTAATGAACCAAAGTTATATCAGCTGCAAGGAAATGTATGAATGCAGCTGTCCTGAACTGGATCGGCTGGTAGACATCTGCCTGTAAGTTTTGACCTCCAGGAAGAGTAATCGCCTGTTGAGAATATTGTTTGAATTGATGAGAAAATATGACATCGTTGGCTATTGCAATTTTAAAATGAAAGTATTCTTGTCTCTTATTACAAAATTAATCTCCTGCAGGGACATTACATGGTCAATTGTTTCCCTACTGACATCTGTGCAATACTTTCAGATGAAAGCTGCTGTTTATGGCTTTATTACAGTCTTTGCTTTAGGACTGACTCATCATCACAAGTGTTACGTTAGACTGTTGGCTATTCTTTTGCTAAGTTGTAGAAGAAGTCATAACTGGTTTTCTTAAAACATCATCTTAGCTGTTCCGTTTGAACTCTGTTGCTTTTTGTGTATTTCTTAACCATTTCAGAACTGCCACCATGGGAATTCCAGGGCATAAGCAAGCTGCTCTAAATTCCTCGGTTGCCTTGGAATCATAATAATATATTGTGAAATGCTATTGCATTTTTTTTTTCAGTTAAAAAAAAAAAAGGTTGTCTAGGGTATGAGGTAGGTTGGACAGCATTTCACCATTTAAAAGATGTGTTAACTGGTACCACGGCTGCCACTCTGCTGCTCCTCTGCTTTCCCCACAGGATTCAGTCTCCACCACTTCCCCAGACTCATTCTTTTAGCTGGGTTTCAATTTGAAGCTAAAATTCCAATACTTTACTATCTAAAAATGAAAGTTACAGAAATATTTCTTTACCAGCAACTACCTTTATTTAACTAAGAAATTAGTCTCATTTAGAATGAAAATATGAATTTTACAAACATGCAGTTTGCCACAGGCTTTCTTCCTTCCATACTCATGTGGATTTTGTAAGTCTTAATACCCATTTACCAGGTTTGTAAATTGATAAGAGTATGATACAGATGATTTTTCAGATTAGTCTGATTTCTTCTGCAGACAAAATGGAATGGCCGCTAACCAGAAAATACAAACTTAAGAACAGGCTACTTTTGGACCTTCAGATTATTTTGCATGGGATACACATGCTAGTTTGATAAAACACAGAGAAGCCCTGATAGCCATTGGACAGTCTGATAGTAATTTAGCAACACGATTTTTGTTACTTCTCTTGGGAGCCAATCCAGTATGTAACTCACAGGCTGCATTCAGTTTATTGTATCACGTAATGACCATGTAATAAGCTACAACAGTCACTCAGCAGGGCAAGTCCACCATGGCTTCCCACTCAAAGGGAACTGCTGATCTGTGCGTGAGAAGGGAGCCAGCTGAAGACAGCCTATGCTGTATTGAACTATAAAATACCTTGGGCTACAAAGCCTTGCTGCAGTGCAGAGTATCAGCACTGCCTGTTCTGTGACACCACTGGCAGAGGAAAAGCCTTAACACATAACATCTGCATTACCTTTAGGTACAGCAACTATGCAGTGTTGATGCCTCAGTCAGTAGCACCTGATGACTGACCTCTGTGGAAGAGACCAGCCATTTAAAGTGTCTTCACTTAGGGTATCCAGCCTGAATCCTACTGCTATGGCCCCTCCTCAGAAATGCCAAAAGAAAGCGATCCTGTTTCAAGTAGGGGAAAACAAGTAGGTATAAACTGATAAGATACAGTGTGGAGTTACCTGTGCTACATTTAAATAAGCCAGCATAGATGCTAGCAACAGTCCATTGCAGCACAAAGTTCAGCATGGGGATGGAAAGTCTCTGTTTCTCATTTATGCTGAGCTCTGTGCTTTCACAGCTAGACAGCTGCACTCTGAGCTAGCCTGGGTATCGTGACACTGGCTTGCAGGCAGTAGCAGAGACACAGCCACAGAACCCAAAGGAAGGGTGTACACAGTTAGGGTTTTACTAAATTAAATTAAAATTAATCAGAGCATTTCAGTTCCAGGGACCAAAATATAAATAGTGAAGGAAAAAAGTGATGCCTGTGCCCATGTTACATCAGATTTCTAACTTACCAGCAGAAAAGCCCACAGCCAGTATGATGAGCACAGCTGAGCACCACATTGGAGAGTCATTAATGTGAGACCACTTCTAACTGGTATATTAAAATAAGAGGTTTTTAATTACATTAATTACACCAAAACAATTATTTGTTAATTATTCTTTGCAGTCTTGTCCCATCAAGACTATTTCCTAAGAAATGTATCTTCCTTTAGAAGTTTTCTATTCTTTAATGTTTTTCTGCTTCTGTGATTAGATTTCTAAGAGCATATAGCTATTCTAAATGAATGAGGCTTAAGCCAGCATCTATCTTTTGAAAACTATTGGAAGAAAAGTCTTAACTTTTCTCGTTGTACATTAAAGAAACTAAGGGACATAAAATCACTAGTCACTCTAGGAAAACTTGGCCAATATGATTATAGAAATGGCCAGGAACTACATAAATTACATTCTTTACTTACAATGATATACAGCTGCCCTGTAACTTTAAAAAGCCTTTCCAAAAATACATTCCACAAAATTGCCCGAGTCTACTGCTGCTCTCTCCTTACAAGGTTTAAACTGTGAAGAGTAATCTGCATATCCAGATGTTTTCTGTTTTGCCTAGATCTTTATGTTTTAGTGTACAACCTCTGCCAAGAAAGAAAGGGATCCATACTTGCTGTGGTTTGTAGTGCTGAAAACTGTAACCACGAGTTGGTCAGTTGTTTGTTTGTTTTTTCTTTTTGAAAGACAGAAAACTTGTACTTTCTCTAACCTACCTCATGCTGTTAATAGCTGTTCTACCTGTTAGTCTTCTAAGTAACACAGAAGATTTACTAAACAATTAAGGAACAAAAACTTGGATCTGAGCTCCTGAATTCATTAGGTACTTTTGAAAATCTCTCAGAATCCTTGAGTGTTGCAAATAACTTTCTTTTGTTCCCTTTCCATCTTATAAATGCTGATAATTTTTGTGTTACCAGCCATGCCCTTACAGTTGAAGATAGCTGAGTTCTCTCTGATCACTTTTAAAAGGACACCATTTTTACATCACCTCCAGGTGCATTATGGCAGCTGAGACAACTATTTTTTTATCAAGACTCCAATCACTGATTATTTTCTTGAAGCAGCAATGCCTGGAGTTACAGCACAATTTGGAAATTCAAGAAAACAAACCAAAAACCACCCTATAAAAAGAAGTTTCAGAGCCAGAATGGCTTAGAGATGCTGTTCAAATACACACTAAGATACAAAGCAGAATAATCCCCACCACCTTATTTATATATTTAAATCTCATCACGTTAACGCTGTGCTTTCTGAGTAGCTGGTTCATAGTTTTGAGTACTTGGAATTAACAATGTTGCTCTGATTTCTTTACCTCTCACAGCAAAACATTTTTAAAATGAGGTACTACAATGTCTCTGTTGCTTCCATGTACCAAACTACAGGACTTCCATTTTTTTTTCTTCTTTTCTTTACTGCAGTCGTCATGTTTTTACTCTCATTTACACACCCCCTTCCTCGTAAGATAATTCTGTTTTTATCCAGTGAATGCTGAAACAAGATACAAGAATTCTTCAAGAAGCAAAAGCCAGAACTCAGGACTGGGAGCTGAGTGCCCCCAGCACTGGACTACAGATGCATTCTCTTTCTGTGGCTCCATCTCTCCCTCTCTTCCTTGTCCTTACAGCTGTAGCACAGCCCAGGTGTTGCCTAGGGTACTTTCTTGCACATTAAATCCATATCTCATACTGTGTGGGTGAGCCCTCCATCCACAAGAGTATTGTCTGCTCATGTCCCCTCTTCACAAGGGCACAGTTATACACCAGCACACAAGAGCAGTGTCTGGCTGTAACAGCCAGCGTCTGACTTAGGACTGAATTGATGAAGACTCGAAGGACAGTTGCAGACCTGTTCTAAAGTTAACCTAGACACCTCCCAAGCACCGCATCTCCAGTGGGTGTGGAATTAGGTGCTCACTTCTCAGCACTTGTAATGTCAGGTACCTAATTTTCAGGGGTGAAAATTTGATGGGCACTGCCCATCAAAACTCGAAGTTCCTCAGCATTAAGCTAAAAGCATCTAATCGTATCACCACATTTGAAACTGTTAGCCACAGTGTTTTGAAACAGAGTGACTTCAGCTCTGAAACAGGCATATTTTCTGTCTACATTATGCTTTATTTCAACTAAGTATTTTAAAATGACTCAGTAAAAATGAGGCATGAGCATGACCACAGAGAGTTATGAAATCAATAAAAGGCTCAGAACAATTCTGAAGGGATTCCAGTTGCCTACCAAAATAAAAGCCAGACACCATCTGAAATATGAAGTTCTGACTGAGGTAAATGGACCAAATGAGTACAGACAGTTGATTTAGCAGACTCTGAAAAGTGTATTGGGCCTTATGAAGTCAATGGGAATTTCCCTATTGATTGCAATTGAGACTGGACTGGATCCTGCTCATTTTAGGAGATTGCTCCATGGACCAGAAATGACAAAAATTGCATCAGAGATTGAGTGGCTTACAGGAATAGTAATAATAAGTAAAATAAAACAGCAACAGGAAATAAAGAATGAACATAAAATCGAGTCAATATGAAGGGTGGCACCACACAGACACACTGAAGAAAGTGTTTCTGTCCAAGACGAGATGTAAGCATGTTTAGAATCAAACACATATGTAAGTACTTGCTTGAAATATGACCTAAACTTCTACTAACCCAGCAGTATACCAGATTCATTAAACAGAAAATGCACATATGAAAAATTACCACAGCCTACTCAGAATGAGCTGTCATTTTCCAATGTTATTCATATGATGCCATCTCTCCCTCCAACACATTCTAGGACTTTCCATGCACGGCTATTGGAAATACATCAAAAGGATTTGTTTGCACATCAGATTAGGTCTCTCATGAGATTAAAATTTCAAATGAGTTTTCTAAATCTTGGTGTTAGAAAAGCCCCAAAGAAACTTATTACATGGTATTTTCCTAAATTTGTTGAATCCAAGTAAAGACATAGAACACAGGTAAGCAACTAAAGAAAATAATGCTACTAAATTCTAACAAGATAGCATCTGAATCTTGCAGAAGAATGGCATGGGACTGGCTGTAGGACATGTCTAGCAGACCAGTGTCCTGAAGCTGGGAATCATTTTTATTTTGGATGTCATTTGTCATTGTTCTTTCTATTCACCCTCCTTATTAAGAACATTTATTTTCTTTTGGGACTAAATTCTTGTTTTACCTCTACTGCTGTAAATCTGTTAGGTTCATGAGGCTCCTCTAAAGAGAGGTACCTAACTCTGTCCATTCAGCATAAACAGATGTTTGAGTACAATTACTCTATACAATTTTAATAGTTTCTGAACTCTCCTTTTCTTGATGGGCACGCTCAGCAGTCCTGTAGGAGTCTGTGAATCTTCAGCATGTTTTAGATCTGTCCTGGAAGAATAGAGCTATTTGTCTTTGCCACATGAGAAATGGCTTGCATGCCTACATCCTGTGCAATTAGTTTATAAACCCTCTTTTGTTATTTTTGTCATGTATTTCTGTTTTCACTTCTGATGTCTTATGAGTGTTGCTAACACATTTCCTTTCTTCTCCTGCTTTCTTCATCTCAGCTGTGCTGTGATCCTTAAAACAGCTGATGCTGAAGCATTATAAAAGAGGGTGACTTTTTGAATTGACAGTAATGACTATATTGCAGTTTAAAGCGTCAGCATTTTTTGGTCCAAAATGGTAACTGCAAATTGCGGTAACACTGTGTACAACCAAGTGGGTGAACTTTAGAAAAATCAGATGACATAGATGTGTTTTGAGTAAAGTGTTCACTAGTTTTCTAAAGGCATTTGATATATGACAAATGACCCCTTTTTTGGTTTATTTAACATGATTTTTTTCTGTTTCGTTTTAGGCAATTTGGGGCCATTGGGTCACGTCTGACTGGAGCTGGATGGGGAGGCTGCACTGTGTCAATGGTGCCTACTGACAAGCTGAATGCTTTCCTAAAAAATGTACAAAAAGCCTATTACCAAACCCATGACCAAAGGTTAGGATTGGAGAATAACAGTCTGTTTGCTACCAAACCTGGAAGAGGAGCTTTGGTTTTTATTGAGGCCTGAAGAACGTAAGAATTTGGAAGAAACTATGTAGGGCATTTAGAACTGGCAGTCCTTCCTTCCCATGCCTCAGTAAATGATGCCTTTTCCCTTTTTTATTATAATGAGTACTTGCTATTATCAAAATCTACTTCTGAAGAAGCAGTTCAAAGAAAACTCTTTGATTGTAGTCCTCTTTGTTTATTGCATAGTAAAAATAGCTATCAGTGCAAACTTTGATTTACAAATTATTGAAAAGGAAAACTGAAATTGAAATAAAGATTATACTTTGTTGCAGTGGAGCTCTCTTTATTTTCCATTTACTGTCATAAAAGTAAGACCAGGTGAAGCAATAAGCCATTTCACCATAGGGTGGGAACCTGACAGGGTTTGCAGGGCTGCTCTGTACTTATTCACTCTGGGTGCTGGATATTCTTTTGTTTAAAGGATCTTGCAAAAATGAAAGATTAAACCGAATCATTCAAAAATCAGAAGGACCTTGCTAAAAAATATAAGTTCTATACTCTCCTCAAACAGGATTTTAACTGTTGTAATTCATTATAATATTAGAGTAGCAATAGCAGGTCAAGTAAAATGTTAGGAATACATTATGTTAAGCAGGAAAACTTTCCTTCTAGCTATGTTTTCTTCTGCATCCTTGTGCAAGGGTGACTTGTTATAAAACTTTCAACAAAAATGAGTGCTGTGAGCTGTACAGTGTAACAACATAGTCCAGTAAGTGAATGAACAAATAATGAAACTAAGTTTGATTTTGAGTTATCCACACACCAAATTCTAATTGTTGAATCCTAGCTGTGCTTCTACAAATTAGTTTTTGCATTTTTATGCCTAACTATTACAATGGATTAAATATAATCCAGTAACCATTTTAAAAAGCAATTAAAATCTGTAAGTAATAAGATAATTCACTGAGTTGAACTAGGCAAAATAGATAAGACCAAGAGCAGATGTCATTGACATATTTTTGACAAATTCCTACCTTGCTCCCACTTGGCACTTCTGACAATCTCAAGGTTTAACTGCATTTCAAGTTCAGCACCCACAATTCATAACCCATCTCCTCAGTAGGAGAAATGACTGTGATTGCAGAAAGGTGACTGCATGAAGATACCCCCAAGATGTCCTCGTGCTGCTTCCAAGTGGAAAACTAGGTTCTCATGCCCTCTTTGACAGCACACGAACTTCCACTTCTCTGATACCTCTAATGAAGACTGAAGAGGGGTTTTTCTCATGTCATAACCCTTGCAGCAATAAAAGACACAGCAAGGCCTGTCCCTGTGCACATTTTTGTGATGTGAAGCACAAGTTAACGTCCAGAAGTCTGCATCAAATTACAGGTCTCAGAAGAGATCCTCTGTACATTACCCATGCTAATTCAGGCCAAAAACAAATTCTTAGAGGCTACTAATTCTGTGAGAGGGCTCTGCCAAATTTAAGCATAGCAGATGAGCAACAGCCAACACAAACTGCCAGATCTTTTCAGGAACCTTAGAGGGAACAGAAAATGGTAATATTATCACTAGAGAAGATTTCAGTTCTCCGACAGCCAAGAGAAGTCTAACAGGGTGTTGCAGATCAAGCAAATCAAGAACTCAAGAGAGGAAAATGATGGGGTCCAGGCATGATAGGGAGAGAAGAAAATACAGGATTTGGAGGGAGGACAATTAAAAGGATGCATTTGAGAAGGAGAAAGGAAAGGATAATGGAAACAGTTAAGAACAACAGGCAGAATTACAGAAAAGGTTTAATCTCAAAACATTCACATTTATGGAAATTAAATATCTTGTATCCCATTTGCAATGTACAGCAGACATGATGTACATTCAACTAAACCTGTAAACACAGGACTCCAAAAATCAAGCAACCACAGGTATGTATCTCCAAGATTATAATAGAGATTTTAAGAAAATAATGCCATGGCTTTGTTACCAACTGCCTTATTAAATATAATCCTCAGTTTAATTCAGCAAGTACTTCTTTATTATCCTATCATAAAAATAATGTAGATACAGTACAAATACTACATACCAATCCTTTAATTAATATATTTGCATTGAACTTGAGTATAGCTGGATTTATGGAAGCACTAAGAAGTGCATGAAAAGAATATATATAAGGGTGTTTCTTTTAGTCTTTTTTTTTTTTTTTTTTTTTTTTTTAAGTTGAGCATGACACACACAGACATGAAATCTTCCCAAAACCATGCAGGCTGCAGTACATTTCAAAATTTTTCTTTCAGTGAATCTTATAAATGATATTCTCATAAACAAAGAAAAATAGAAAACTGGCACAGTATAAGAGAACAAAACTGAAGGTTTTAAACTTCTGATTAATTTCTTTCTTTTATTGCTTCAGTGTCTTTCCCATACTTTTGCTGAGATCTGCAAATAGAATTGGGGCACAACTTCCATTGGAAGACTTATGGTACTTACACTATATACATAAAAATGGCATGCAGGCATTCTTATTTACTGGCTACCAATAGTTGAAATAATAACAACAACAAAAAGGAATTAATTTATGTTTCAGGTTTTTTTGTTTGCTTTTTAAGCCTTTGAAGACATTCTTAATGATAAGCAGCAAGGATATGACTATTTCTAACAACAGAGTGAGAAAATGGTGGTTTAGATGAAAAATTCTATGTATAAAGCAGCAACTCCTAAGCATATTTCCTAACTATGTCTTTCCAGATCTGTATTTTTAGTACCTTTTCTGACTATGCTTTCAAAATGTCTTCTGTAGCTGAAATAAGGCTCATAGTTATGTACATAAACACCCACCCACACCCACATATTTGGAAAACTAACAAATGTCAGAATACATGGAGAGGTGATACATCCTGTTAGCATGAGATACAATTATCAGTGGAGTGTGATTTTCTTATTCTAATGACTGGCTGTAATTCATTCAACCACAAGTTTAATCTTACTGTGCAGTAAATGGGTTCTAAACCTTTCCAGAAAGGATTTGGAATGGAGACACTGTTAGACATCTAAGTGCAGCAGCACTGCCTGGTGCCACATTAATACTCTGTATTATCTTAATCCCATTGACATCTACATCTTCATCACTGTATTTGCTGACTGTGTATCTTGTATGTAGGAACTTGCTCATGCTCCAAAATAGAACAAGAGGAATTTTACCATTCACTGGACAGGAGGGGATCATGATGGTATATTACAAAATAGAACACTGGACAGGAGGGGATCATGATGGTATATTCGACATTTGCTCTCTTGGACACAGCACACATACACACACATATATATTCGGTAACCTAATATAAAGTTATTACTTACATAACATCTTTGGGAATATTGGTTTCTAGTTAGTATGAACTGAATGCCAACTTCTATTTTAGTAACTGCTGTGTTTAATCCTTCTGAAATTCCACTTTAAATCCATGTGCCTCTTTAATAACATCTTGATATATGGGAGCAACTGCTGTGCTACAGTTTCAGTCAAATGAAAGATTTGTATTTTCAGCAAAGGCTGAAGTGTGTTTGTGTGCTGAGTCCCAGTCAGATATAGCTAAACAAAGATACACCCAGGACAACATAAGAGCTATCTTGTTAAAAAAACAAAACAAAAAACTAAAAAAACCCTTTGCAAACCATAGCTGTTGCTGAGGACTGAAGCAGTGCTTTCTGACTCATCATTATTTGCTTCATCAAGATAAATGAACTCTATAAAGGGATTTATACTGCAAAGTAACAAAGGCATGAGAACCAGACTAGTGCCACTGAATGTGCTGAAACCTGTGAATCATGCAAGATGTTAAATTGTATTTTAAATGCTAATTTTGAGATTAAAGGCTAGTTATTGATGCAGAAAGAAGTATACTGGGGAACCTAAAACTAACTGAAAATTGCTCCCTGTCAGCCTGCTTGGCAGATGTTCCCGGGACATACAGGATTGGCAGAGAAAGTGATGCCAAGCAATATCACTGTCACATCTGTCCTACCTCAGCTCTTCATTTTATTTTCAATAAATGCTCTTCTGAGATTAAATATCCCATAAAATAGTGACAAAAGATTAATTATTTTCTTAATCCTCTCTTATACTCTGCCCTCTGCTTTTGGGCTTGTATCACAAGCAATTAGCTGAGATTCTGCAAGATAGCACATCACAGCCTCTGAGAACAGCACCATGTTTATGAGGAGACTGAATCTGCCACGATGCTGAGGGTGGATCATCCCCAACCTCCTCTGTGATCTCTCACACTTCAGTAGGACTGCAATATTCAATCTAACCAAGGTGGCAGGACCAAGCTGTGATTGATGTTTTGGGAACTGCTGTTTTCTGGACAGGTTGTTTGTTGTTGGTTTTTTTTTCCACAGGTCAGCTACAATTGTTTTACCAGTTAAATCTGTAGATTAACTTTTGGAGCCCCTGAGGTCTCTGCAGGTTTGGTCACTGAGTTCAGCAGAACATGGGTTTACCCCAGCTTTTACTCCCTAGCACTCAGTTCAGTGGGTAGGATAACATGGACTGAGTTTGCTCAAAGAACTGATCTGCCTGAAATCTCACATGTAATAAAGGTACTTTTGCCAAGTCCATCATATGTGTAAGGTTTACTAATGGGATGTCTGCAGAAGAGTAAAAAAGTTTGAAGCTAATCAGATGAAAAGACACTAAGAAGCTTGACCAAAGAAATGTTTGAGATGGATTTCCAACAGCAGTTGTTCTTGCAGAAGGAACAAACTGGATGAGGATTTATACAAAAGCATTTGGTATATTTATTGGATTTTAAGCCTAATGCATTTAGAGAATTGCTATTGTCTCCTCAACACTACTTTGTTGGCCAAAATTACACATTAATATTAAAAGGGAAAACAAAAAAATCCTCTCCCCACAAAAGCATGCCTTTCTGCACTTGGCACATGAGGCTCAAATAACTCAATAAAGATTAGATGTACTTCGAACTGAAACACTCTAGTGCCCAAGCAGCTGTCTTCTTTCCAGTCAGGCTGTATGTGATTTGGGACAGGAATCAGAATATGTTCTATTAGTCAATGATCAAGCCAGATGTGTGGAGGTTTTGGGTTTTTTTAAATCCAAACTAATTTTTCAAGGGACACTGAAGCAGGTTTTTATGAAACTCTTACAGCAGTTTCTGAGGATTATTATTAAAGGTGTTATTT